CCCCAAAACCCCAAAACCCCAAAACCCCGCGATATTAAATTTCAAGCCTACAACAATATTTAAAATCCCAATATAGAAATAATATTTCAATGTCAAGTCAGCATGATAATTAACATTGATATCATCATGACACATAATGAGAGACCTGTGAAAAATGCAATATATTGATCCAATTTTCTAAGTTTTTTCCTTGTGTTAATGAAGCCCCAAAACTTCAACCACTTTGGTCCTCTTCTTGGAACTGAAATAGCAGCAGAAGATTAGGTATCAGTATTTAGTCTGGCAATTTAATTGTCCTCTATACTTACACAGCTATTGTTGTTAAGACTTTGATTTATTTTCAGTTCAAAATTTCTTGCTTTTCTCTTCTTATATTTGATTCTTTCTAGCTACCTTTCCTTTTTGTCAATTAGCAAAACCACTAAGATTAGGAATATAGTTACACAACTCACAGAGAGGAAGAAAAATCCCATAAAAGGGATTCTTGTCGAAACTGGCAATATCTGTGAAATCATGACTAGGAACATTATCTCTGTGAGCAGTATAGTGGCTAAAAAATTAGCCCTTTCACCTTATCCTTTAGGCAGGAAAAAGTAAAACGTACTTGCTAATCCGACTAAGAAGCAGGGAATGATCACACTAATCACAAGCGTATTACCTTTTCTTCTAATTGTCAATTAAAACTAGACGTGTTGATAACTGCCTGTTGAAAAATTATAGTTGATAGTTTTATAGCTACTAGAAATGATATCCCATTCAATATGATCGAGTCGGAAAGTATCATAAATGTATAACGGATTGTTCCTCATTGAAATTAGTATTCTATTATCAGTGTAAAGCCAACTACCAAAGGTCATATTTATAATTTGCTCGTCATAGGGATACTTAGTAACATCAAAAGTTACTAGAACCTTTATATCTCCAAACCTTGAAAAGTATACTGAACCATCTGAATTGATTCTAATATCTGTGAATCTCATGTTACTTAAGTAACCCTCACCCACGTCTTATTGCAAATAGGTGTCTGGAGTCCATATATAATTACTCGTTTATGGGTCAGATTTAAGCCAAGTTTGATTAAGACCTCCATATTTGGAAGGATCCCAAGAAAGTCTTTTATCTTTCCACCATTGTCGAACTGATGCCTTTAGCTTTACATAACTCTCAGCTGTATTAACTTCTACGATTCCCATAACTTCCAATCTGAAATCAATTTTCGTCTGAATGCCTGACTCTGGCTTTGGGAGAGCAGCTGTATTATAATCTTTTAAAAGATCATTTATAAGCTATTAATCGTAGTAATAAGTTGAGTTTTAAGCTTTCAAAGTGTTTAAAAGAAGAATTAATATGGTGAGTATTAGACTAAATAGTTTGTGAATTTTCATTTTTAAGTTAAAATTTACTTCTAGACTGTTTTGTTAAAGATATTTATTAACATGTTACAATTTCATCAATAGTTTAATGCTGGGGTTTTGGGGTTTTGGGGTTTTGGGGAGATCGGA